ATAATCGGCTTAGCTCCGAGGTGAAAACGTCCTTGGATTGATGCTCTCAGCTACACACACAAATGGGGCGTTTCCAGTCGCAGAACAGAAGATTTATCACCACACAAACTGTGACCAATAAAAAGATAAAGATGAAAACAACATACAAAACCGGAAGTAAAAGCGTCTCAGCGAGAGACTGACAATCAACGTACCTGTTTAAAGCAAGGAACTGTCTTCAAATTTCTCCAAGAACCGCTACACCGTGAAAATTCAGTTAATCACAGCTTCTAAAGGCCAGTTATAATCAANATAATCAATATTTCATGTATACCCCGAAACTGTTTAAAGCTCCCAACAATTGATAAATTAACTGGCATTGAGTCAGTTCCACCCTCTCTGTATGAAATGTAAAGCCCATCGACTTCAGAATCAGGTGTATCACATGCCTTAAACATTTGACATGAAATGTTGACAAAAAACAGCGAAGCAGCTGATTCATGCATCGATATACGTTTAATAATCCACGTGGTTTGGAGGGGATGTCAAAAAAATTTGGAAAAAGATCACCATGGCGTAGGGACTTCAAAGACGACAGATGCATATCCCACTCCCACAACACAGCTGACCAAGCTCAGTTGGCACTCCTCCCCCGACTGAGCATGAATTTGCGACACGTGTGACAGATAAAAAGTGATGCGGTGGGTACAATCTATATAAACGCTTAATCAAGCATTAGGTCGAGTAAAGCATCCGAAAGCCTATCTTTTGATCTCGATGAACATCGTTTTATGAATATTACCGGATTATGAGCCTAAGTAATTCGGATTGACATAGACCAAAGGAAGAGTACATAAGAACTCGTGTTTCGAATCAACGGAAATGAATAAAACTTTTTCATGATCGATCTTCAATAGAATAGAGATTTATTCTACAAAAAAGACGCTCTGATTCACCTTAACTTCTTTCAATGTGCAAACCTAATGCGCATAGAACAAGCAGACCCGCTCGTAAGGTCAAAACTCTGGAGATCGGAATGTGTTACCTCTCGGAAACGCATTCAAGGTTCAAGATCAGTAATCCAGTTACCGTCTCCCTCCAATATAGGCATTTCATCTGTCTTCCCAAGAAATCGAAGTGTTAACTTCTGATCAAACAGGCGTCGGTGTTGCCTTTAGCGCCAGAGCCGAGGTTACTCTGTTGAATTGAATCCTACTGGATAGAAGACCATGCGCAATGATCCTCTGAGGTTCCCATAAACTCAGAAAGCAGCGAACAAACAAGCTGTGTCTGTTCGTGATTTCCGCAAACAGTAGCTCGGAGGCAGTAAAACAACTTAACTTTGTAAAAATGGTAAAGCAATCTGCGTTCGTGCGCTTTCGAAACGAGTTAGCCCCAAGGATAACTATTAACATACCTAAGAAGGCAAGAAAACAGTGGGCAAAAATCCAAAACACTGTACTCATTCGGTTTAAACAGTTGTAACCTAGCATACAGAGCCTTAAAACACTAGGTTTTCCTCTGGTTCTTCCTAATTTTCTGACGCTTCAGTCAATCCTGGTGAACAGCGAGTATAACGAGCGACGTTGCTCTGTGAAGTTCAAACTCACAAAGAGCTTCAGTGCCGACTACAAAACCTGTTTGACACTAATTATAAGGGAGATGGAACTAGCTACTACATTTTTGAACAATCTGTAGGAATTGAGGCCGAACTTCGGGGTTTCCCTTTGTGTTGAAGCCCGTAGAAGGGGAACAATGTTGTGATTTGTCTCCTGCGGGTACCTGTCCCTGTCTGTGCGTATCAAATTTAGTTGATAGGCCAACCCCTCGAATAACCACATCGTGTCGTGTTCCGCTGGCATCAGTGAATCGTTCACGACTGTCATACATCATTGATACTTATATTCAAATGCACTTAATGTGCTGCTGGCAGAATGACATGTCCAGTATTCGTGGCAGCTTTCGAAAGTTGAGTCCCCACCTTCACGATCCGAGTGAGGAGATTACTGTGTGCGCTAAATTCAGAAAGTCGATTTATCTTACATAATATAAACACGTGATAACAATCGCCTCAGTAGCTGTAACTAGTGCATTTTCTTTGCTCTAAAAAAGTGTGAGATGATTCAACATAGGGCAAATATTGATCCTTGCACACATATCAACACACTTAGAAGCAGTAGGCATTATGAAGCACGTTGGACTGATTTATAACACCATGTATGCATGCCATTTGACGTACGGAGAAAAAAATGCGATACAGTATGCACCAGACGGCGCATGAAGGAACGCAACCACGGAATGGAATTAAGAGGTAGAGCGGACGAATATCTACGCTTGCGCTCCAAATTGGGGTGCATATTCGTTCACCAATGCACAAAACACTTTCAATTTCCTACCCTAATGGACAGCCGATAAGGTTATAGGTCACATGATCTGAAAGGAAGATTACAAACGTGTGAGAGAGAGAAAGGGAAAATATGTGCCCCGAAACAAGGACTGTACGACTGTGAAAAAAATGCTGGGGTCACAAACTCACACTACCGATCCTGTTTTAGAAGACTCGCGTAAATGAGACACGTCGTAACGCAAATTTAACTTCTTAAGCTAATCAAATAACCTGGTCAGGTTATGATGTAAATTCCTATTTAACTATGACCTGCACATTGAAAAAAGTGTTGAAATAATCCATGTCGACTGCATTTGTTCTTCACAATCAAATGAATCCAACGAACACTTTCAAAAGGGAATTCATGAGAATCTGGCAACTTTTAGACCATGGACGTTTCAAGTAATTCATGTTGGATCTGCTGTCTCTCTAAGCAATGGAATAATATTCCTATCTTATTATACTTCACTCGTACATAGATTCAGACTTTCCCAAACAAATCATAGTTTAACAACCTTTATAAAAAAAGATTGCGGTTTTTACAGATTGCCCAACTGCCTTGTCAATCAGATCCACTCATTCAAGACCGGCAAAAAAGATTGGATCAAATTTTGCATGCAAGAAATCAAGTTTTCTTCGACCGTTATGTTAGCATATCCGCCAACCCTGTGTAATGAACACAACGTGAACAACGGTCAAGTATACAATAAAATCGTGCATGGTATTACGATTTATTCACCCACGAAGAAAAGTGAGATTTAACCGGATTATACTGTTATTATTCTAAAGTCACGCGCATCATATAAGAAAGATGAGTGCTCATCTAACTGATTGCGTCACACGATCTAAACTGGTATTGATCTTCTGCCTAATCAAAGACATTTTATTCCTAAGACGTTCCTCCTGCGCCAATCATTTGGTGAGAAGCTTCTTTGTCGTCAAACTGGTGTCCTAAAATGTTTTATACTCCAAGGCTCATATGGGTTCGTTTAGCGATCGACGTATACGAACAGGAGATGCATGCAACCGCAAACATTATTTGTACCAATATTCATTACATCCAGGGGAATCATAGAAAAAGTACAAGTTGTGTTCCCAGCCCCCCCCCCCAAAATTGGTGAAAATTATGCATGCAAATGAAAAGAGCAACAGGAATGTTAAAATGAACAGTAATATTTATCTCCTTTCAGCACAAGTGGCAATCATAGCATAATATTTACCCGATTACGCAAGAGCGAAATTTGATCCAGTTTGATAACTCTGGCCCGGCCGGAAACTACCAACTGGGCTTCTAATAATCTGTTTCCGATCTCCGGACAAAAACCGCTTGAATGCTCCTCGTCTTCTTTCAACCGAATCGGAAACAGTGGCCCTGTTGGGGGCTTTATCCGTGTCCCCGTACCGGAGATCAACTTCGGACGACCCAGTAACTCCTCGGNAGCCTAAAAAATAAAAAGGAACTCAGAATAATCGGCGGAACAAAAAAGAGCAAAATGCCTCCACGGAAAATGTTTTGAAAGGTTGATTCAAACTAGCGAAGGGGGACACAGACACTAACATCAGGCACAAAACTTTTACTTGATATCTCACGTAAAGGTTAATGGATTTAGTGCCAGCATCCCCAGGCCTTTGTCAACGGCGGTTAGTTCACTGACACGTAGTTCGCGTGTTCGATAAACTGTCGCTCTATGTTCATGCTGACTGACCGACAGCTTTTGAATGATAGCAGCCCCCTTGTGGGTATTGAATGAACAGATGTAATGTTGATCCATCTTTATTATTGTATAAGTCACTTTATGCAATGAAATTCACTTGGGCATTTCTCAGTGAAGAATGTAGACATTTCTCAAAAGAACTCGTTTCCTGCAAATTGGACAATGCAAACTTGAACAGAATCGATACTGTTTAAATTCCGAAATATGTTCTGAACCTCTTTAACCGACTCATTTCCACTCCCGGGTTCCTGTTGTTTTTCCGATCTGAATGCGAGTGTACACCAGATGACTATAAACATACTGTGTTAACATTTGCTATCTTAAGTACAAGCATCCCCGAAAAAAATGCAATGGTTCATATTTTATGCATGATCTTTTGAGACTAATCCACCGAAAAATGAACAATTCTGATTTTCAGGACATGACGAAAACCTCAGCTTTTAAGTACTGTTCAGGATGGCGTATGATAGGTCAACGCATGAAGTTCCTACGAGCGTTCATTCATGCACTTTTGGGTTCGAGATCCTCCCAAACCGCCCATGATTGAGAGGTACGAATGGATCTACTCGTGATCCAAAACAGAGAAAATCTCCGCATCAAGCAGTAGTGCCTCAAGCTGGTGTGCAATGTGTTCACTGAGCGCTCTGGTTAAAGCATACCTATAGATAGTTATTTGCTCACTGTATGTGCATGATCAAATGGTTAGACATAGTTGCTTTTGAGCTTGATCTCACTCACTGTCCCCAGAGGGATGTCCAGAGGGATGGAATTCATTATAATAAATCTCCACGGCAAGTGAACTGAGTGGATCAACAACTTTTGGGCGCACAGAACGGGATTATGTAATCGGATTAATAACATCTCACTTATCGCCAACAGTTTTGCATTACAATTACGTAACAACGGTTTGGAAGAGGAAGCGGTATCAATTACGTTCATGGTTGTTATGAGGTGTTTTGCAATTGATGACCCTGGGTTACGTGTGACCGTCTGATTACTGGGCGTGGGTTGCGTCATCGACTTGACAACCACTTTGGAATGTGTTCGGCCATCCGCTGTGATAATTGACGGTTGGTTCTGCCTATGTATGCGTCACCGCAACTGCAAGTGAACTGGTATACTGTGTGAGAGAACTATGTACACGTTTGTCCAAATCGATTCCACCAGTATAGGCAATAAGTCGGAATCATCAATTGCAAAACACATCATGACAACCAAGGACATAATTGATACCGCTTCCTCTTCCAAACCGTTGTTACGTAATTGTAATGCTAAACTGTCGGCGATAAGTGAGGCGTTGCTAATCCGATTACATAATCCCGTTCTGTGTGCCCAAAAGTTGTTGATCCAATCAGTTCACTTGCCGTGGAGTTGACCTTTATTTTTTTTTAAATTCTAATAGTCCCTGTCTAACTATATTAAATCTATTTACATTTTGTTCCAAGCATCTATGACTCGTCTTACTCATGACCTGTCAATGGTTTCAGTGCACAGATCCCAACACTGTGACCCTGACCCTAGGTATGATGGTTCCATAACGGTTTATCTAATTGCTAGCTACTTCCGCTTCACCATCCCTTTTCTGTTGGACCCCGGATGACCATAACTGTCCCTAGTGTTATTCGATAAACAAAAAATCAAGTTAACTGTTTACTAAATATAACCACTCGATAAAGGAATTACTTTCATTTAGCAATGCGTTCAGTCGGACGTTCAGCACTCATGTTGCATTCTTGAACCCGGACTGTTCCACAGTTTGAATTCAGATGTAAGTTGAGTAAACGTACGTTATTTCACTATTGTTATCTGAAGCCGAACCGGAGATTGGTATCTACGAATCAGACAACCGGTACAATAACAATACGAGATAAGCAGAGGTATATTTATATCAATTTTTTTGGCCAAACACGGTGCAAGGGAAAAGTTCATTCATGAAGGTAATAACCTGTCTTTTGGGATCGCTCCAAGTACAACTATTTATTCCGTGGCATTTAAATTTTCTGAATATCCATGTTCACATTGGATTTTGCAGCCGTTCGAAAGGGTTGTTCCCAAAATCATCCTGAAACTTCATTGGTGAAGAGAAAACATTTTATTCCTGATTGCATTTTCATTCGTGCAGAGTATGCATTTACTGGGTGACTACTAAGCTAGTGATCAAACAGTACTCCTGTCATAACTGGAGCTTGATTAAGGTAAATCGATCAAAAACGGATGCTAGGTAATCTGTGTGAACTGATATACGAAAGGGCGTTGGAAGAAGTTTTTTTCTTCGGGCATTGCCTATTTTGGGTCGCATATCGCGAGGTCTATTTATTCAATATATCACAAGCAGACTTTGGGTCCTGGACGGACACAAATTGTCGTTTGACACATTGAACTTATGAAAAGTTCAGTAACCTCGGCGGGATTCGAACCCATGCATGGACGCCGCCTGCGTTCTTGTACAGCGCACGCTCTGCCAGCTAAGCTACGATGCCACGCCGATAGCACTCATTTTTTCACATTCGAATCACTGATTCAACTTAGAGCAAGCTACCAGGCGGTTGCCATATGCATGTTTACGTTCGATGGGTGATTCAAATGTGAAAAGATCAGTGCTATCGGTGTGGTCTTGTAGTTCAGCTGGTAGGCCGGGTACTGTAAAAAAAGCGTAGGCGGCGCCCATGCATGGGTTCAAATCCCACCGAAGCTACTGAATGTTTTTCACAATTTCCATAAAAGTATCAAAAGCTTTTGTTTCATGCAGACGCGTGTTCATGCTGATGACAACCAATCGTGTAACTTAGGGTAAAGAGCTTCGAAAACCCATCCCAGGTTTCGCGCTTCAAGTCCCGCTTGGGACAAAAGATAATACACACAGCTGATAAGTCCCAATGAAGGCTGAACGCCTGCTATCTCGTCCACTTTGTCGACGATCACGCACACATGACACTTCATTGCGTCTAGAAGATGTATTGCGTTTCGTCGAAAAACATTGCGCACACAAATCCGAATAATTCAGAAACAGAAATGTATGCGATTCACTTGGGTCCCATTTATCGTGCCAGTTCGCATACACGAACTATCTGGATGAAAGTTCTCGGGGCAAAGGACTTTCATATGCTTCGAACCCTCAATCGGGTATATGCAGATGCGTTGTTAGTACGCTGTTATTGTTAGAGATCCCAGGGTACATCATTAGTCCAATATCCACAACTAATAAAGCCGATAACGATAACCGATTGCGACAGGATGTTGACATTCAGAGAAAAAGTGTACACCAAAAGTGGTGGTAAAAGTTACTTCCGAAAAGCCCTGACCCACGCAGTGTGCTGAGAATGAGAAGACCATGTCCGGATCTAACTCATGTGATCGGCCCTTTGATGTTGTATAGAATCACGGAGCCCAGAAACTGTCAGCGAAGAACATGCACACAGTTTCTCTGGAATGCTGATTAGCTCCAAAATGACTAGTCCGTTTTTACGTTGTTTGTCTCAAACTCAATGGATGCAAGGCAATGAAAAAGTCTAAGAACGATGAAGACCTTGGTTTTAGCGTTGCCTTATACAAATAAGTTTATAGTGATGCAATAATTGGTGGCTCAGTGACAGGGTAAAACGTAAAGTACACCGGTTTTACGTCTCCGATCATTTACAAAATAACCATTTATATATTTGAACCTCGGAGCTAAATAGTGATGTAAAACCACCAATCTGCGACAAACGGCACGGTTTTCTTTACAAACCGTTTGATGCCACTATTTGAAGAAAACATACACCTAGGAGTCACGTAATAAACTGAATAGAAGACAGATTACCGGATAAGCATACGAGCTGAGCGGCAGTCACCGTAAAAACGACCCTGGATTTCGGTGAAATAGAGTCTAATCAGTCCGAAACTACCCACCACTTACCATTTCAAGAATGATATTCAGCCAAGTTTGTTGTTCGCAAAACCATCACCTGCAATCCTATATTGGTCACACATCATGCAGACAAACCGTCGCTTAGACGGAAATAATGACGGATGTTGTTTGTATCCGAGGCCAAAGTAACTAAGACCAAATCCACATTAGGGAGCATCTTAGTTTTTCCATATGATAGGAACAGAAAACGGATCATCCTCACTAAACTAGTAGCTTTTTCAATGAAGAAGCAAGGGGAAAACATTTTCTACCGGCACCGCTGATGTCTTCTCTCTCCACAATACCAGACAGGCCATTACTTGTGTAAAATCAATCAACAAAACAAACAAACAACAAACAAACTTATCAATGTATTCATCTGTCCCATGGTCAAAACAATCATTCTACGGTTCAGACAAAATAGAACCAAGCGTGTTTTGGAAAACAAGACCAATAAAGTTGGCGCTATAGAAGTAGATCGGACAAGCGTATTACTCCCAAAGAAAAAGTTACTCCTCTAAAAGTGTAAAACATTTAGGGATGGCAAATGTTTTCGTTATCCACATACAATCTATTTGGGGCCTGCAGTTAGTCGTTAAGGGTACACAAAACTCCATT